CGCCTGGTCAACCAACGTTTGATAAACACCTCATCCTCTTCAGAACCGAAGGTAAGTTAATCTACGCTTTTCTTCATTTATCAGAATGGATCAAGGATATTTACTGTCCCCAATGCAATAACTGCTACCCGTATCATCTGTTGTCCTGTAATTGCACATTTTATTCTCGTGGACAACCTGAAACACGCAGTGTTACTGGCGAGCGCAGTTGGGCTTTCTGACGCTGTAAGTGCTGTTTGAAATTCATCGTCAGTTGGATGGCGCAATTGCTCGATCGTTTCCAGGTCAACAGTCTCTTCTAGGAAGTTACTTGGATCCAATGGCCGATAAGATACTGGTAACAACCTTGGTCATCTCTATGGCCTACAAGAATTTATTCCCAAGTTAATTTTGAGTGAATTATCGAGCCTCATCCACTCCTTTCCGTGCATTCAGGCAGTCTGGCGTCACTTATCATTTGCCGCGACTTAGGAATCGTCACCCTGGCTGGATATTTGAGCATTTTATCGATCCACAAACCGGTAATTTCGTGTTTTTCATCTTATCTCAGAAAAAGCGGTCGTTCAAAGACCTATTAAATCAAAAACGTGCTCCAATTGAGATGAAGGCTTCGAAATTGAGCAAGGTAAGTAAAGAAATTCTCAATTCACTTTTGGGGTTTTTCACTGAACTGTTTTCAAATTCAGTTATTCACAACCTTCAACCATGCACTTTCCTGTATCGGTTTCGGTTCCTTTCTTTTGGCTCTCCATTAGGATAAAAGAGCAGTAAATTAAAATGTTGGGAGACAAGTCAAGGAAAAAATACAGGATAACAAAAACTGAGGTTACAAGGATAGATGCACGAGCGCCGCTCAGAAATATTACTCAGTATTATTAACCACCGGTTACCATGATCCCGAGGTCCCCATCCAGGAAGCCTAACAGGATCAATATGACAGTGTCGTGGTTAGAGATTTCACACACCCATTCCAGGTCTTAGTTTGATTGTCCTTGACCTTTTTCCATCCACTGCCTGCCTCGAAAAACGCGACAACCTATTAGGTGATATCCACAACACATGCCCCAACCAGCGCAATCTATGGAGGTCGACCATTTGCTCCAGTGGACAACCACGATGACCGAAAACTCCGCACCTAACCTCAACATCGTTGATCTGGTTGCCCCACCAGACAGCGGTGTTTAAACGCTAAAAGTTCATTTTATCCTGTTGCATTATACACTCGACTCTTCACAGACGGATATATTAAAGCAACTGAGGGCAGAAACTTATATTTCCAAGGCTACATTTGACAAGCTCATTCCATGTGGATCTCAACCATCCAGACTCTACGGATTGTCGAAAATTCGCAAGCCAAATGTGCCACTTAGACCCGTGATTGACATGAGTGATTCAGACTTCACGGCCAGCCGGATGTCACGGCGCCGCCACAGATATCCCATTTTGGCAAATGCCAACCGAGCCTTCTCGATGTATGCCGACACTCCATCTGTGGTGCGTCTACTTTCTCTACTACTTCCCCAGTTAGAGTGAGGTTCAGAGCTGGGCCAACCCAATCTTGTAGCAACATTTTAAACATTGAAGCATATACCGAACATGGCTACACTAGCACTCAAACCATCCATAAAAGCCTGCAACTTACTTCGAAATTCAGTACAATCTCGTCTGCATACTCCAAACCAGACAGCTTGACACCTGATGGCAAATCCATACCAGAAGGATACGGTTGTTTCAAGAGTGAAATCTAAGACAATGTAAAATCGACAAAGGGATGAAGGACAACCCTTGCGAACCCCACTTTCCGTGTTAAACTCGCACAAAATAGTTCTCGGACTCGGTTTTGGCTATTAGTACACGGAGATCGTGAAATTAAAATAAACTTCTCAGTCACATTCTTCAAAGAGACAGTGCCATAATATAGCGCAGTCGACTGAATCGAAAGCCATTTTCAGATCGAGAAGGACAGAAATGGTAGGTCTACAAAAAGTGTTGTGAAATTTGTTGAAGAGTGAAAATGTGGTCGATACAACCTCGAACAACGTTAAAACTCACCTGGTTTTGACGGGTGCACCGTTCACGTACGGCAGACAATTGACGGAGTATAACACCAGCGAGAAGCTTAGAGACGATGTTGATGTTTATAATGCCAGCCAGGAGTTTAGGGACAATTTTGATTAAACTAATTCCGCTATGATTTTCACAAGTGGATCTGTCGCCGTTTTCTGTTAATCGGCAAGATGACCGGTTCACACCATTTAATTGGAACTTGCTCTTTTCTCTATACTAAGCCAAGGAGTTTCGTCAACTCCAAAATTAACCCTCCATCCTCAAAAATCGATGGGATCAGCTCGTCTGGGCCGGAAGTCTTGTACCTGCTGAGATATATTTCCCTGGAAACTTCTCTTTCAAGTGGAGGACTGATGTCAACTGGCAGTAGGTGCCCAGTTGATGTGGGAGTTAACAAGCCTATTGTCGAATGAGGCCAATTAAAGTGAGCCTCGAAATGTTCTGCCTATCGATCAAGACGGGGTTGCTGAATATGAATCATATGCCGTCGAACTCCTTAATTAACTCATTTACCTTTATTTTCTTGAGTCCGTACTCCTAATTAGATGTGAAAGATTGCGATAGCCCCAGCCTTCTCCAACCCTCTACTTTTCCCTATCCACCACTTCTCACAGTCATTCTTGTATTTGTACTTGTATAGACTTTTCCGTGAACAGGTGTCCGCATTTCAGTCAAAAAATTACACATCTCACCGAAAGAAGGGTATAATATAACTAAAACATTTAACCTTTACGGTATTTGAGAAATTAAAAAGAAACGCTCGGTTTACAAGGATTCTGGCGAGATAGAGAACAGGGGAATTTCTATAGAGGGTAATAATCGATATGCAGAACGCGTATACGTATGTGAGCAGCATTTGGATAGATCACCATGTAAACGATGAATGGGGTCCGAGAGGATTTTCTGTGCAAATGTTTCACATGCGGACAAGTGAAGTTCACAGTTTTTTAAATAGATCACCAATGGGTATACGAGGCACACGACTGATGGTCGACAGACCCTAGCGAAGAACTTTAAAGTCTTTCTTGAGTAAACCAGCAAAAAACACCGGGAAACAATAAAGAACGGGGAAACACATTGATAAACAAAAAGGGAAACGATTTTTTGGTTGGGGTTGAACTGCCTAAGTCGTCGCAGTTGAACAGATAATCCACGAAGTTCCTGTACAGAGTTGTAAATATGTGACGTCCACTTCAAGTTTTTGTCAATTGTAACTCCTAAATACTTTATGGAATCTGCTCTAGTTAGGGGATCTGTGTTTGTGACCGAGGGGTGACGGGGATAAATAGACCGAGAGAGGGAGAAAGTGCATTCGAAGCATTTGGATAAATAAAAAGACAGTCCAGAACGAACGGAAATTCGCGGATATGCGACAAATTGTTAGAGAAATTTGGAAGGTGTTCAAGCACCGAAATGGCTTGGCAAAGGGCTACGTTGTCAGCGTATTTGAATAATTGGGCTAGAGAACTCGCTGACAGGTTACTGATGTAGGTGGAAAACAAGAACGGAGATAGTACGGCACTCTGTAGCACTTCCGAACTGTTCACGAGCGGTTTAGATGTTTGCCCACCGAGTACGAAATCACAACAGTACCTGGGATTTTAGAGTACGACGCATTTCGCGGTAGCCCACACCGACGGAGTTGTTCTTTGGTAATCCTGACCGGAGCCTTTGACTCAAAAGTCTTACCCGCAAGGCAGTGGGGCGTAGATTCAACGCGTTAGCACGACTGAAGAACCCGTGTGGGAGCTTCTAGGGACTTGCCACTCAAGATCTTTGGATTTGGGTTCAGTGGGTTGTTCGCTAGTGCGTTGATTGGTGGTTCGCTATTCAGTATCGGCCCTTAGCCTCATGCACCCAAGAAGACAGGTGGGATGTCGACTGGACAGCACTTTATTGGCTGGAGGCTGCCCAGCTTGGGAGGATCGTAACAGTCCAATGAAGTGCGAAGACTTCTCCCACCATCGGGACTAAGCCCCAGGTACCCCGCTCCTACGTCCATCTAGCAGGGGTTTTTCCCGGTAATCTGCCTCTCCCCGGGGGAAATGAGGTGCGTCCAATCAGCTTGCTTTGTGAGACTGAGCTTCGTCTGGTCTCTGCCCGTTGGCCTTTCAGTTATGATTAAATGTGCGGCTCTGAGGAGCCATCCTGCTTAGCCCGCAGGGTCTTGGAGGTTCGCAAGCCATCACCTCACTTCAAGGTGCAGTCTCGCCGTGATGGGACCGCGACCGTCGACGAGCCACAGCCTGTCCATAAAAGCAATGAAGCAATGTTTGAAAAGTCCGTTTTTATTGGAACCAGGGTCTAGTTCACTGAATAATACGTTTTTTAAACTAGTTTCATTGTTCAAGGTGCCCAGTCAAGCCAGCGACCACCGCCACATCCTGGAAGGTGTGGATA